TTTCCATTTTCGTTCGCATTAAAACATAAAATGAAATTGTAACATATTCAATTGCATAAATGCGGATATGGAAGTAAGAGCCAGTTTTTGCAGTCAGTAGTAAATTAACGGAGACCATCAGCTATCATTCATTTGAGTCATAAAACTGCCACATAAATGGGTCAACTAAGGTTATCCCGCTGGCAAACTAACGTATAGCCAATTGATGGCAAATCTAAATCTATGGAAATTAACACACTTTCCCAAATAATCGTAACTAGCGTGTAGTTTTTACCATGGGTTTAAGGATAAATACAAACAAACAAAATTGTATCTGAAGATAAATGAAGAAAAAAAGAAACAATCCTTAGGCTAGAAATGACTAAACACGTTGCCACAATGCTGCCATATGCAAATGGGATCCTCCCACATGGTCCTCAGACATACACGTTTTAACACACAAGCCACACGTTTAGTTTGTCTGACTAGCTTTTGGCATAAAATTAGCATCTATTATTATTCAAAATGTTTTTCCTTTTTTTCGTTTACACACACACACACACACAATCGAAGAAAGTTTCCATGGAAGCAACAAGTATGGCTTAAGTGTTGGCCAAATCTGGTAAACTCTGTGCTTGCACGTTTCTATGCCAAAAGGGTTAACTGAATTAACATTTCACTTTCGTCATAGGCAAAGACACTGTTTCCAAGAAAACCTGATGCTTGTGAAGTTTCTAACTTTTGTTACTATTCAGGATCAATAATCACATTAGAAACCAATGACAATCAATAATTCGTGGTGGAATAGTTCCCGGACATCATTAATGCGGAAAATTAAACATATTTTTATTTAAACTATCTTAATATCACTTAATCGTATATTTTAATGTGAAAACTACTGATATATATATATAGGTACAAGAAACTAATACAGTAGTAATCGCTTTTAACGCTGGTCAGAGGAAATGTTGTTAAAGGTAATATCAAAAAGGAACAGACAATTTTTTCGAGACTTTCGATATTACGACGATAATTTAAGATATGAATTTATGTACAGTTTTTATCAAACAAAAAAAGCATATTTTTTGATGTATTGGAATTTTTTGAGTTGTGTTACGCATTTTACTCGACATATTTAAAAGAATTTAGAAATTCATTAATCATTGGCCAGTGCCATCTATGACATTATCTTGAATACTAGTGTTATGTTTAAATATCCAATCATCGAACCAATTAACAAATATAAAAAATAATGTATTGAAATATGTTGCCTACTCGCAGGCGCTGTTCACAAATCACAATTTTTTCTTAGCATTTTTGTAAAATTGTAAACGAACGAATTCGAGTGACTTACTTCCAATGCTTTATTTACGTAGTTTTTTTGTTGATTCAAAACAAACATTAACAACATGTGTGCATAATTTTAAACGTTTTACATCAATTATTAAAAATTATAAATTTTCAAATTATAAATTCTTGTTTTTTTAAAGCCATATCAAATTATTTCAATATCCGGCCCTCTACCATAGGACGGTGTGTATATGAAGATTGTCATTCCGTTTGCAACACTTCGAAATATTCACCGAAGACCCTATAAAGTATATATATATATATATATATATATTCATGATCAGAATAAAATTCTATGTCGATTTATTACTGTCTGAAATCACTATAGTATTCTCTTGCTTTCAACATTTTTATCGCGAAATACCAACTCAAAATATCTTTCTGTTTATTCATTCTTCAAGCAATAAATTTGATAGTCAATGAAGACTTCGAAACTGGCTATTAATCTCGATGATGTAAACATAGTCAATAATATACAATACTGAATAAAACACTGTATTAGATCTGGCAGCTCTCGTATACTATTGGAATTTTTTCACATACTCTCTAATTCGCTCTCGCTCTCCATATTTACCTCTTTTCGAGCTATCCAAAAGATACACATTGGTTTAGTGCTCTGTATCTCTATCGAACACAACACATTCTCCCAGTAGGAAAAGCACTTGAAGCAAAACAAAACAAAAAAACCCAAAACATATTTCTAACCAATTGAGGAGATACGCTCCGTCGATCTCTTCCAAACACATTCAGTCGGTTTAATTCAGTCAAGTTCGCTGTTTGTATGGAAAACGGGCGCATGCCACAACGAGCCACTACTCTTACCGAAGACACAAGAACGAATAACAACAAAACAAACTAAACAAAAAATCAATTGAAGTGAAAAATACAATAAAAATGTCATTGAAAAAAAAGAAATCAACAACAAAAATGAATTGAAGTGAATTTTGCTAAGAAAAGACTCTCCAAACTAATCGAAAAATAAAAGAAACAACTAATAAGACAAGTGAATAGAAACGCGAAACACTTTGGAATGTACGATTTCAGCTTGGCCCTGGAGCAGCAGCAGCAGCACCAGTAGTTAAATTGATCTGTTTCAATAGCCCAGACGGGAAATAAGTGCATAAACGTTTCAATTACCCTAACCCCCAACCACCTTCCGAGGTACAAACATACAGCCGCAGACTACAATAACAAAAACAATAGTGGCCCTCGTTTACGCAATACGACCCAAATAACAACAAAAACAAGTAAGAAGTGCTCGTAAATTTGTTCTATTCTTAAAGTGAGCCAAGTTCAAATTATTGTTTATTTAGAATGGGTGTGTGTGTGTGTTGCGCCCAGTGTAATAATGTGAGTGCGTGTGTTGGGGTTGTGTTTGACAACGACATGCTGAACGAACATATATACGTATATACATATTAGTAGTTGTTGGTGTGGGCAGAGGGGATCTATTGTCTATTACAGACAGAGCGGTGTTATTTCCCCCCTCATCAGCACCCTTCGCCGCAACAACAAGTGGAGGTTCTGCTGTTTGAATTGCTTGTAATGACAATGAAATCACTTCGAACCAAATCGTTAAATGTTTAATTGAATTCTCGTACATACATGTACGTCGTACCTACCTCCAGCAACTTATCACAAACAACAGCAACAACAACAACGATGGCAGCTACTCCAGCGCAACAAAACAACACCCATAATGCTCCATTACATGCGGCCTACCGAACTAATGTAAGCGCCCAGTTTGTGAGGGAGAAGACGAGCAACTACAAATAGGGAGAGAGGGGGAGAGTAATAACTTTTTTTGCACTGACATGGCTAAAAGCGGCCTATAGCTTGTTTTGTGAGTGGATCCTCAGTGAGGATCGTGAACACCTCTAACAAAACAAAAGTCTCTCTCTCTCTCAGTATTGTACATATTTTCGCATAAATTCTCTCGTGCGGGGGGACACAAGTGGAGTCAGTTTCGACTACGTACTTGCTTGATTGGTTGGTTGGTATCTCCACAGTTGTTTGATTTGGTTGAAATACATTTTCATTTCGTATTCTGTTCGTGTGTCAGAGAGAACCTGAATGTGTGTGTTTTTATGGATTTTGTTTTGTTTTCGTTTATTTTTTTGTTTGTTTCTTTTATTTTTTGTAAATTGTCTGCTAAAGTTTTGCATGAGTAATTCGCTTTCTGAGAATTAGGGTCGTATTCAAGTGCTGCCCGTTTTCTCATTCATCTTCAAAATAAAAAGTAATAAAAACGAATATTTCCTCCTTTTCGTGTAGAATTGCTACGAGCGTGTATTCGCAAGTAATTATAAATCTTTGTAAAACAATTCATTTGATATAGACCAACATTAAAATTGTCAGTTAGCAGAGTAATAACTTTCTATTTGAATGCTAAGCTTGAAGTAATTGTTACTTGAAAACAGGCTTTCGCTTATTACTGCAATGTGGTATTGTTCAAAAAATTTAATTGGACTGTAAGGACTAATTAGTTAACGGGTTTTTCAGGACTGAAAGTTCATATTCTGTTATTTTATCAATCATTGATGATAGTAGTTGATTGCTTCCATTTTTTTTAAATAATACTTTTCAAAATCGTGTCAACGATCTTTAAACTCGCTACGAGATAGTTGGCCTCCAATGAAGGTCTCATAATTAAATTGTTAGGTGTCGCTGGCTTCGTGGGTCCCATTACAAAACAAACATTCCCGCCTTGTTGTTGCTGTTTACAAAATAAAAACAGTTTTTTTTTCGTCCCAAATACGTCGATAAGATAATATTGAGCATGAAGAAAAAAACTGCAAAACGAAAGATATTAAAAACCCATGCATTTTCACACATACACTAGAACATCGCCTTATCACTAGGGAATTTGACCGATTGATAAGATTCGTTTGCACGATCGCTTTTAGTTACTCATTGTCGTTCAGCCACAACACAAGCTCTAACCCAAAATATCATTAACGCAACGCCTCAATATCGATAACTCGATATTGTTGTTAAGCGCAGTGGGAGAAGGAAAATACCCTCCTCCAAATCCCAAATGCAAACACAACAACAACACTACGGAGATGTTGCATTTGGTTATTCTGATTACTGTGTTATCGCCAGCCTAGTCAGAGTATGAATCTTAAAGAATATTTTTAACATTTAGTTCCGACGTCTGCGGTAAAGAACAGCGAGTGAATAATAACAGAGATAAATATATGAAATAATAAATAAAGTCTCGATTTAAGTGCCAGCTAATGAATAGTGAGTGACTGAGTGTTGGATATCACTTTCAGCGTGAGGAAAACAAAGACCTTTCGCTAGCTCCAATTAAAATACAAAAAAAAAACCAAGAACAGCAACGATATTTTCTTTGTGCTGTCCGGGTTGTCGCCTTAGTTTTACGCGTTAATGTCAAAAGATAAATAAAGTGATAGTACGCCTGTCGTGTCATTTTGAAAAAAGTGCCAGTCGAAGAGTGGAAAAATTATGTTAAATATTTACTTAGTTTTGCACATTACAACAACAAACAAACCGCCAATAACAATAACAACAAAGAAAATAAGCTGAGCAAATAATTTTGCACCAACTCAAGGATATTACCAGCCCCATTTTCAACAGTACTAACAACCACGATATATATATACACTCAATAATATTAAACGGATTTTATAATTTCGCCGAATAAAATGGATATTGAATCTGATGATTCGGAGCGATGGGAAGATTTCTTTGGTGAGTAATGAACACTTCTATTTAATTATCATAACAAAATCATTGCATTTTGTTATTGTTTTATATCATAGCATATTTAGATTAGAGCCACACAAATTTATATTAAGGCGATTAAATTACAAAAAAATAGTATATTTGTATTCTAAACTACTACGAAGGTTAGTTATGACCTTCGTAGTAGTTTAGAATATGATTCAACATATGTCAATAGAAATATAATTTTAGAATAATAAGAATATACTTTAATGGCAGTAATTTGTGGATTTATGTTGGTATATTTTACATATAAATGATTAAATTATTATAACAGTATTCCAAATGATATTTATGGGGAATATTAAGAAAATTACCTGCATTTAATATACATATGACATTACCCGTGTTAAAGATTCATCACTATATTTCGCTTTTCTGGAAAAGCGTTACCTTTTACTGAAAACAAACAAAAGTTGTAAGCAATTTTAAGAGAGTGAGGCAAAAATAGTATTTCCTCTTCTATTTTTTGCTACTGATAAGCAATTATACCTAACTCTACTGCGACAAAAAATTGAAATATGTTCAGAATTAGAAATGACAGCTATATTATAATGCGTATAATGCAAATATTGGGACAGAATCAAGTGTAAAAATGGTACACACAATTTCCTAAATAATAATTATTATATATTAGCTCGATGTTTGAATGTGAAAGAGTGAGCGAAATGAGGGAGATACTACGCTGAGAACTTACTGGATATTACTAAGTAATGTTCTTCTAGTAAGCTATACCCAGTACAATTTGATGTACAGTCTACGCCCGGCATAACGAATGATATATTGTCAGGCCCATTCGTTATAGCGAAAAATTCGTTACATCGCGAGTTTTTTAAGGTGCAATTTTATTTAAAAACAAAAATGGTAATCCACTTTTATTATTTTTATAAGGCTAGCCCATCGTTTTTTGGATGAATATTTGGCCACAAATCAGCTGATTAAAAATAATTTGATAAAACTTAAACGTCTTTACTTGGCAACTTTTTTAGTACAAGATTTACCCTTATATCTCTCTTTTGCTTGTCTTTTGAAACCAGACTAAAAATAGCATGTCAATCCTGTAATGAAAGCGAGTCTATAAATGTGGCATAACACGGAAAGAGAACTTAAAGAAATATATAGATATGACTCCGTGCTAACTTTACTCATTTATCCAGAAAATATATTTTTCAATTCCCATCTCATATACACCATGACAATTCCGTCCAGTCATTGTGTCACATTATATAACATTAGCATGACATTCTGTTCGTTTACGCTTAGCGGTATGATGCAAAATAACAACACTTAAAGTTTACTGACTCCAGCTCCACCTTGTGGGATTATGACAATTCCATTTCTCCCCGTCTGCTTCTTTTCTCTTTATACAATATGGTTTTGCATTAAAATGTCACAAAAAACAAAACACATTTCGCACAATAAACATTTTCCCATGTCATCGACCTCCATCTGGCTGGAATGAATTGAAATTGTCATTCAATACCTTGGATTTTAATTATGCCGCTCTAAATTCAGGTTTGAGAAAGCAACAAATCATTAAATATGGTTTAAATAGCATTCACTAGCTTGCCGATCGTCGCCACGGTTCCCTAAGACAACGGGCAGAAATGTGGAGCACACGGTATTGATGATGCCCGCATCGCATTGATTAGCGCTGATGAATGTGATCATTTCTGCCCATAAATTGACAACGAAAGACAAACAAAATAACAAAACAAAGCACCGAGATGGCGCAGATAAAGAGCCGGGGGAATGTAGAAATGATTTTAACCCCAATACCTTTGCAATGGCTTTTGTTTCTTTGTGCCAAATGTAGTGTTTGCGCCACTATTTACACCGCCACTTTTACCTCGTGCCCTGCTGCTGGTGATGATGCGCTTCCAATATCGCCAGCAATCTCTAGCGAGCAGTGAATAGTGTGGCAATTGTTGTTGGTCGTGGTGTCGTCGTCGTGGTCTTCGTTGGAGGACTGGCTGATCAAAGTTCGCTGTAGACCAGAAACCTAGAAACCAGTTTGGGGGTATCATACCTGGTTGCGTTCACTGTAGTAGTGGTTGTTTTTGGTGTTGTACTTGCTTTTTACCATAAACGAAAAGCCAACAATAGCGACAGCGAATGTATCCATGCCTGAGACAACAGTGATTATTACACAATAACCTGTTGGAACTTAAAGCAGGCAGCAATAAAACAACTACAAACAACCAGCCAGAAACCACTCCGAACTCTGTGTGCCAGAAATAGCACCAACCAACCAACTAACCACGGCCATCACCAACGGCGGCCATAGCGGCGTCTTACTCCTTGTATCTGTCAAGTAAATGAAGGCAAAACGATCATGGCGCACATTTTATAGATTATCATCCCTCCCCGGCTTCAGAGGCCGTCGTCCATTGCTCCCAGCCGATTAATATCAGGCCATTAATTTCATATGGGCCATAACTAATCGACAAGTAGCTAGTCAATGCCGAATTAATTGAGGCTCTTCTTAAATTACAAGCAAGCAGCGCGTCCGCTATCCTCGTGTAATTCATGGACGCAATACGAAACGGAACATTGACATTCCTTGCGTCGCATGGTGTTTGAGGTGTTGTTCGCTAATAAAAATGTCCACTAGCAATTAAATGCAGTGATAATGTGTGAAATGGCTGGAAATGAAATATACAAGAAATCCCAATGACATTGGCGTTGATATTTGCAAATATTTTCCTACTAATTAAGTCTACACTAATATTCGAAGACTAGCCAACGTACTATTGATTTTGTCGTATTGTAATGCATACATTGATATATTGCGATTATGTTCACGATTTATTACACTTTCAGGTGTTTTGTGCCAAATACATCAATATTTTGGTTTAACACATTTGGCTTGACGGGTTTCTGCATGTATCCTTCAATGACATCATTGTAATCTAATAATATAGTGTATTATCAACCGACTAATGATTGAACAGACGTCTTTAAAAAAGATCAACTGGATATATATTTTAAATATTAACTTGTTTTCCATGTTTTATCGATATGAAACAATAAATATGAATTAGCAACCGCTAATTGTTTTGCTACACTCCTTTTAAATGTAACGAGTTAATAAGTCCTTTGGAATATCTAAGCGGACCTGTAATATGGATTGTGTAGTTATTTTTATATATAAAATATGTTGGGAAAATACATAATTCTCTATATAGAAGACCCCTCGAATCTTGGATATATATTATCATGCTGAAGCTAAATGGTAAGGATTTTTAGTTCTCTGCTACACGACTACATTTCTCTAGGAGCGTGTATAAACTGTGCCTAATAATTTGATCCGATTCACGAAATCCTGAAATATACCATTACCGTTTAGATATACTCTGAGATGATTTAAATCCAATCAACTGATTATTGTTGGTATCTAAAGTAATATTTTTATACGTTAACTATATTTGAATTAACCAGACTAATGTGAATATAGAAAAAATTAAGCACCGTTATAAATATCATACTTATTTCTGACTCTAAAATAACTCTTGAAACTTTTAATATAAAAATTTGTTTTTTTTTATTTCTATTGATGCACTTTGATTTGATACAACCCATTTTCACATGTTTTAAACCAATATGTTGTCATTACAATTGTATTTTATTGCAACCTTCGTATGAAATCTCGTTCGATAACGAATGCGGGAACTAATCCTTCATCACATATTTTATAATTTTTGCAAAGAAAATAAAATTCAAATTTCTCTTTTAGGTAAACCACCCTCGCATTTTTGTTATTTCTAACAATCCGGAATTTTCCAAGCGATTCGTGTTATCCTTTCATAAGACATGTGTTTGAACGTGTGCATGAACACCAAATAAATTGTATTTCCCTGTACATTTGCAGTTTACACGATTTTGAGTGTAACCCGTGCCTGTCGGTTTTTTTCGCTTTTATTGACTTTCAAATATATGTATTGGCCGTACGTCCGTCCGAGTTCGGTTGAACATATGTTGGGTGGCCTCCCGCCTAAATTTCTCAATGCGAACATATTTCATATTTTTAGACTGAATTAAGCTGCCGGTTTTGAAATACTTAGCGTTCGAATTTATTGTAGCCCCGAAAAAGACTTCATAAATCTAAATGACATCTTTTGGTGAATTGCACACATCCATCGAACACCACAGGCATACCACCACCACCACTCTCCAGCAAAGTCAGTCAGAGGCGGTTGGCGTTAATTTTTTTGTTTTGTTTTTTATTTATTTATTTTTTTACATTTGAATTTGTTTACTCGCTCCTCCATACATTCATTGGTCGTATTGTGCTGTTCAACTGAGCACGAACAGGTTTTACCTACTGATGCAACACTCAGCATCCAGTGAGGCCCACGCATCCAATGGCCACTTACTCGAGGCTAAACATTTCACAAATTCAAAACAAGCAAAGCCATTTGCTCTGCCAAGTGTGCACGTTCGTCGTACGGGTGGAAAAGAAAGAAGTAGTGGTGGTAGGTCTAACAGTGTACCTCGATTGCTAGGTGGCGGTAATCTAATAGACCCCAACATGTGTACACTGCGAGAAATGAAAGCAAACATGAAAACATATGTGTGTTTTAATTATACAAGTGGTTTTGTAATGTGAATCCCTTGTTTTCTGCCATAACAAAGATTTAGGAAAGCCGGAAAGGTCATGTCGAACAAATGGCTATGAGTGTCTCATTAAAAATCGAAAACGAACTATCATCCCTAGTTTCTTTTAAAGTTTCGAGAGACCCAATTATATGGTGTCCACTGTAGATGTGTAAACACTTCAATTTGTGTGCGTGTATGTAAAACGTTTTTTTTTTGCTAGTATATATTTTTGAAAATTAATGGCGCTTAATTACAAAATTTCTTACGAAGCAGCAATCGACATGTAAATAAGTGCAAACAAACACCAAACGGCTATAATAATAAAAAAACAAAACCGAAAAAGAAAAACAAAAAGTGAAAAGGAAGCG